AAAGTGAAACAAGTAGCAATAGTTATGAAGATGCACTAAATGTCATTACAGTGTCATTAATATTAACTCTTACCTCAAGTAAAGTGAAACAAGTATCAACAGTTATGAAGATGTCATTAAGTGTCATTACAGTGTCATTAATATTAACTCTTACCTCAAGTAAAGTGAAATAAGTAGCAATAGTTACTAGACAAATGTCTAGTTAACATGACTGGTGTTATGAACTGTAATACAATTATTTCTTAACACAAGTAGGATAATAACTAAAGCTGAACAAAATTATTCTGATCAAATATTTGTTTGGCAGAAGTTCAGACAGACTGCCACTGTTGTTATTCAGATTGCATCATTTAATGTATAGTTTTAGGCACATGAGTGTATCTTTTTACTTAATGAGCATTCTAAATTATTTCCAACCAGATACTCTGGCTTATTGATGTTTGCAAGACGTTTATTAATAAATAAATAGATTTATCACCAGTTTTTAGTTGTCTAAAATGTAACTTATTAACTCAGCTGGTGAATGTTGATTCCTTCTCCCCTTTCTGCACTTACCTGGCTATCCCACCCCACTTCACCTGGAGAAAATGGGAACACAAAAATGACTTACCTAATTTTCTTGGGGAATATTTCATCTGCTTCTTTTTCTTTGGTCAAACAGGGACTTTTTTCTCTGGTGGCTGGTTGTCATTATCATCCTCCACACTCGTAGCATGTCTTCATGCTACAAGCTTTGCCCCCCACCATGTGTCCTTAGGCTAGCCTGGGTCTTCATGTGGCTAAAGTTGCCAAAGCAAAGAACACAAGCACTGTGTCACATCCGCCAAGTTGCTAAATGATGCACATAAAGGATAACTTTGACTTACATATTACCTTTTAATTTTCTAGATTAATATTGGAGGTAAAAAAAAAACCCTATTTGCCTGTCTTGAAAATATGTTTAATATTAAGGGCTAACGTTATTAATGGAGTTTCATAACTTTAGCTAACATTAACTTACAGCAAGGTAGGATTGGCTTGAATTGCTCATAGCGAACATTACAAAGAAAGAGAGCATAGTCAATGTTATTTTCTCAAAGAAAATGTAAAGTTAATAAGACACATACCTCATATGTATTGGGTGACAAACTTCGGCTTCTTTTTAAACAGGAGGTCTGGCTTATGTTAGGTTGGCCCCACAATATGGAAGATTTCTTCCTCACGAACACACTGCAGGCCTGTTCGTGCACTGCTGCCTCTCACTGGTGGAGATGGTGTATTGCACCACTTTTAAACAGCCTTAAATAATGTTTCAAATGCTAAGTTCATAAGTGCTTTGTAGACATCTTGCTGTAAAACTTTAGGATCAATTAAATTAAGAAATTTAAGACTAAACAAAATGGCAGAGCAATATAATATTACCACATGAAGCTAATTTTTAAAGTTTAATCGGTAATACTTTTCTAACAAATTTATGTCAGATCATGATTTCTTGGTTAATGTCAAGTTGTCATAACGAAGACATTTTTGTCTAGATTAATGTCAAGTTGTCATGACGAAGACATTTTGAATAATGTCAACTTTGTATTAAAGGTGTCATTATTTACAGAATGACACTTTATGACAGTCATAAATATTCATGAAGACTTATTCATGTTCATGACAGGTGTTATGTCATGTCAGTCTTATTCACACCCCTTCAAATAAAGTGTTACCCATATGTTTATAAATGTTATGTAATTTATTGCACTTCTCATCTTTTTAAGGATTTTTAGTACGTTTTTCTGTCTTTGGTGTGAAATCCAGAAATATGAGCCTGAGTCCCCTCAGGCCACACCAGAGAGCAGATAATATTATCAAGGTTTCCTGATAATTTTGTCAGGAGTTAGCTACACATCCTCAACTTGGTCCTTTCATATTTTCTGGCATATGCTGCTTCGTGTTACACTTCTAAACACAATCTCCTTTCTACCGACGTACTCTGCACATGGCAGCAGCACAAATGTCATGAAAGAAGGGGGAATTATCCTTTCTGCAGCTGCGTGTTGGACTCCGCTCTGCAGCCCATTATTTTCAAACGAGGTCGGTTACGCAACCAAAGAACAACAGAGCAGAGAAAAAAGTGCAGCTCGGTCCAAATGACTGGTAATCACGGCTAAGTACAGTATGTAGGCCAAAGGTGGCACTTACTCTTTGGACCAGGGTCCCAAAGAACTCTGTTGCGATTTTGGGGGCCCATGGGAAAAGCTCCAGGCTCCTGTGGGAGTTCTGCATGAACCGGGCCTGGATCCAAACTCAATCCCCAGGCCTCACCAGGAGCCTTGGGAACAGCTCCCCTCTTATCTCAGGGAAACACAGAGGAGGAACTGCGAGCTTCCCACCCTCTACCCCACCAACTACTGGGCTTTGTTCAGCTTGAAGCTGCTGTCCAAGCACGCACACACACATACACAGCTGTGCAAGAAGTGCTTTTTTTTTTTTATATAAATTATCTTTGGAAGGAGACCTCGAGGACAGACTGGAGTCTCTCTGTGTAAATGTTTGGACACTGCACTGTACTGTGTATTTGAAAGTAATTGCTTAATATGTTATCTGTTCAAGTCTGGACGACCAATATTTGGTTGCAAAAGGGGAAACAAGCCTATTGCTGAGATTTACGCCGATGCCAGTTCTAACATCAGCAGCCAGTGACAGAAATAATCTCTTCTCTGCTCCCAGGCCATAGCAGCTGTGATGACGAGGAGGACAGGCTCATGGACAATCTGTACCTGAAATCTCTGGAGGGCTTCGTCACAGTGGTAACGTCAGATGGCGACATGATCTTCCTGTCAGAGAACATCAACAAATTCATGGGCCTCACGCAGGTACACAAGCACTGTGAGAGAACGGCTTTTTGCTGAATCAGACTGAAACAGAAGATGAAGCATTATTAGAAGAAAGATACAAATACTAATATCCCACTCAGTTTTATTTTTTTTTCCAAATTTGACTAAATTAGTGCTAAGCATTTGCAAAAACAAGAGTTTCATTCTATTAACACAAAAGTTAAATTTCTGTGGAACAGTCCTGCTTTGTTGCTTTCACAAAAGTTTTTTTTATTATTATAAGAAAGCTGCTATTAAGCTTTATTACTTGCTTCTAAAGCCATGTCTTATTCAGCAGATACATCCAGTCTCTAATAAACTCTCTTCTAAATCCTGCTGACCACATTTCAACATGGGGCAGTTAGCTTAAATGGTTATGCTAACATTAACATGTTTGCTCTTGATTTTGATTTGACTTGTTGATTGTTCTCCACTTTTCACTGTGGTTTTAAGTAATAACATGCAGCAAAAATGTGTAGAAAAAGTTTTTATTATTATTGAACTTGCAAAATGCAGCTGTACAGATTACTAGTCTTGTAGCTGCAACTGGCATAAAATCGGTCTGTACAACTTTAGTCTGACTAATTATTTAAAATGCATTAAGAATAACAGTCAGAAAGTGTATGAATATGAATAATTAAGACAAAACTAAAAAGCAGAAAAACCTTTATTACATTTTGGCTTAAAATGTCTCCAATGACTTGTAAATATGTTGTTTGCGGTTATGTATTACTATTCTTTTAATAACTAGAGAATATTAACTCAGGCCAACAGAAGACTTTCATGCAGGGTGTCACATAAGCTCACACTGTTTGTGTGAAGTGCTTGTGAGGTCAGCTCTGTGTGTGCTATAGACAGGACAGTTTCAGCTCTAAACATTTCTCTTCTTTTTTGGCACCAACTTTAAAACTGAATCATCCAAGAAAGGAAGTTCATTGTGTGACTTCTGAGCATCTGAAGCGACGTGTTTCTGTTTTGGTGCAAACAAGCCAGGTTTCTGGAGGTGACACTTTTCTTTTTGCTCCTTACGCTAATCTTCACCCAGTTCTTCCAGTGTGTTTATTACAAAATAAATCACTACTGCTAGCTAATAGGGGGTGTAGCGATACAATAATTTCACAATACGATATGTATCACAATATTTGTTGAGCGATACAATTCACTATGATTCAGTGCATTTTTACTATTTTCTGAAAGATTTTAGAAGGACAGAGTAATTTTAGTGACATTTTGTGTTCCACAGACTTGAATTTAGTTAACTGAAAACTGATTAAAAGCACCAACTACACAATACCTGACTCTGATTGGACAGTCTAACAGTCTGCAGCTGAACAAAATTAATCAAAGATGCAGTGAGAGAATTAGTTTCTGTCATTTAATTCATGTGGATTTGACATAAAACTCAAAAGTTTAAACGGTAATCCAGGAGCAGAGTGGAAAGATTATCAGCCTCTGTAGACTCTCAATATGCAAATGATTGCACTTATGTTTTTTCTTTTGGACACTGTGGCTGCATTTTGGAGTAAAAATGCAGCCACAAATGCAGTCTTTTGGACTATGGGGAAAAAGGCTTTTCTACCTTGGCTCCCGGAGTTAGCAGTGGCTCTAAGCTGCTTTCTTCTAACTGCCAAAGTAGTGGCTCCACCTCATCCCGTAGTGATCGACTCCCTGCAGCTACGCAGCGCCGCTATCTACGCTAATTACGAAGTGAATGCTACCAGTCAAAATTTGCATTAATTTCGCGATTTCACTGCTTTTGCAGCTGCTCCGTTCGCGCCGCTACTCCTTTCCGCTTCTCCGTTCCGCTTCTCTTTCACGGTTACTTGCGCAACTTTACTTCGTTCCTCAGCAACAAAATACAGCCCATTGTTATTTATTGAAGATTTTACATTTCCAAAAACACAGGAATCTAATGTTTCGTTTCGTTTTGTACGTTTGGAAGCTCATTCCCTCTCACATAATCGGAAAAGCCGGGGAATGGCGGCGCTTTTGACATTTCTCTGACATTCGGAAAAATATGGTTTACTAATTTTAGCATAACTCCGGTTATACTTGGCCTATTAACACAATTTAAAAACTGGTGTGTAGTTTATAATGTCCACTTTAAGCTCAAGTTGAAAGTGAGACTGAGGGAGGCGGAGTCTTGCTGCTACGCCGTAACAAACTAGACGTTAAAAAGAGCTATAAGTCTATGAACCCCTATGGTTTAACGGATCGATACTCGTGAATGAAAAATCGACACTTTCCGAGGGCGGAAAATATCGATATATATCGCCGAATCGATTTATTTATACAGCTAATGAGAACAGCATTATTTATGTTGACCTAAAGTGCTTGTTAGCCCAGCGACAAGATGGCTTAAAATAATGAATATCTGAGGAGGACATCCAAATTTGTAAATTAGTTCAATGTCTCCATTCTTTCTTGCATGACTGCTGTTTAATTAGTGTGAGTTGCTAATAAAACAGCACTAAGTAAATAGTATTTTGAACGTGTAGGCATGTTCATACTTGTAGGTTCTTAGAGTCTTATCCTGACATAAAGTAAATATTTTACCAAGAAGCTTTAATAGTTTTTTTGTTTCTGTTCAGTGGGATGTTGCAGTTAGCTAATTAAATAATATGCATGTTTTACGCTAACTAGCACCCTTCAGTGTTAGGCAACCTATAGAAATATTTCACTTTCATAAAAATAACAGTCAAAAATTCATTTTTCATTCTAGAAAAATTAATATTTTGGATAATTGAATAGTATAACTGTCTCATAAAACATGAGTTGAAGACATTATGTGGTTACAGTCTTCAATATATTTACGTCTTACTCTAGCTGATATTTTTGTGAGCAGATGAGCTGAATTGCTATGCTAATGCAAGCATGTTTCCTATATGTTTTGATCAGAATTTTTATAACAAATTGATAGCAAATCAAAATGGGGTTAGATTAAATTGATTGTGGACAAACATTACAGGAAGCTGTTCCCTTGCTTTTTAACCTATAGCATTAATTAGCCTATACAATGATTTGTATATCACATTTAGAAATCAACAGACTTCTTTAGACAACATCACATCTCTCTTGTAAATCATTTTCATGGTCCTTAGACTGAAGGCATTTCCATATATTTATGTCTATATAACATGAATCACAAATCCTTTAAAAATCCTATAATCAGGAAAAAGACACCGCTACATTTAAGCACCAAGTGTTTTGTTCAAAACTGTATGTGGACATTTATTGTGGACAGGAAGTAATGTTAGATTGTTGGCTTCTGATTCTGATGAATCTTCATTCTATTTTTGTCAGGTGGAGCTCACAGGTCACAGCATCTTTGACTTTACCCACCCATGTGACCACGAGGAGATCAGAGAAAACCTTAGCCTGAAGTCAGCAGGTGAGCATTCAACCTTACCAACCCACATTACAACTGCAAGACATTTTTACATAAACAAATCTCACCCTCATTCTGTTGGATTTTAATCTAACAATAACATAGTATTTTTATACAAGTATTAAAGCTTTGTGTGAGCTCACCATCCAAGCATAAGTTATTCCACAGAAGCAGATTTGTATTTACTTATTCAAGGCAAACTACATGAAGAGATATTTTTGATTTGTAGTTTAAAACTAATGAAGGTGTCTTGGAGACATGATTAAACGTCTAATATTCCGTAAACTTCTACTGTTCTTTTCTATTTTATCCGTCTTAACATTACTTTTTATCATTTTGTCTTAAAGGCATAAAAAACATGATGCCATGGAAAGATATGCTTACCCATTGCATATTACACATCTAACACTCTAACATGCAACACCACACATACGTCACTCACATCAAGGGTTGCCACCCGTCCCTTAAAATACGGAACCGTCCCATATTTGGCTGTTAAATGTAGCGTCCTGTATTGAACCGATACAGGACGCGGTTTGTTCCGTATTCTACAAATGTGTATGTGTAATAATAAAGAAGTGGTCCCCGAGTACTTTATATACTAGGCTGCCCCAGTCATTGTTTCACTCACGGTGTTGGTGTTGCGATATTGTGCCCAACTGCTTTCTGGGTAACACAGACCAACCGACACGCTGCCCCCCCCACCGGACTTTAAATATATAGGGACTGGTCCCTTGGTAACCCTAGTCGACGCACCCCCCCCCTCCCCCCCGCGCTTATGAGACTAGGACGACGTGCATTAGTGGGCGTCCCTTATTTTGATTTCTGAAAGGTGGCAACCCTACTCACATTAGCATGCTGGATGCTTGAAACTGAAAATGAAGGCGACTGCATGCCCTACTTTCTGGTTAACTTGGGAAACTATTATTCTTCCACTTTGGGACACTGATAGAGCATTGAAGTTTCATTCTGACACAGTCATTTGCCAGAAAATAAAACTTCTTTTTTAATTCTAAATTCAGTATAAAGACTCGGTAGTGAAGTGTTTGGAGATTGTGAATTCCACTCCACTGGTCCCAGTACACATGCACTATTCCCAATGGGAATACATAAAGTGATACCCATACTTTCAAAGCAAGGCAGGACTCAAAGTTCCCTTGTTTCACTCAGCTTTAGATCCACGTAAAGCATTGTTCAACACACCACCATATGCAGCAAGTTGGAAAAGTGTCACAGCAGCCATATAATTTGAATGAACCATTTTCAATGATGGAAATCTGTACAACCTCAAAACAACTGAAAAGGTGTGTATATCTGTTGGGAATGGAAGTACAAATTTGTATAGATTGGGAAACCTGTGAATGTCTGAATGAATGCAGAAGTCTGCTCTATTAGCTGGAAACCAGGGCAGTATAAGCACACAGCATGGTTAATGATTGAGCAGAAAATCACCAGATTTAGTTGAATTGGAACAAATGAGACTTTGCTAACTGCATGCAAGGATCACTGTTACATCTCAATAACTGTACATCACTTTTTGTGGGACTTTTCTAACACATGGAAGCTTTAAAAACAACTGATTTAAAAGTGAACACATTTTCTTTTTTTTATTGTGTAGGTATGATTGGTTAGTTCTCCTGCTTTGTAGCAGATCTACTAAGCCATATGAAAGCATAAATGTTAGTTGTCACAAGATGTGTATGCAGAACTGGTGGACCCTTAAATCAATATCCTGAAGAACAAGTTTTTAATAGCATTTAGCAGTGGATGTTGCATTTCTGATCAATGCAGTTGAAGGAGATAGGGGGAAAGTCCAGAGTGCCATGAAAATGAGGTATGATCTTAAACTTCACAGTATTCTTAAGCAATAATGAATCCACAGTCATCCTTATCCTTTGAGCTTTCTCAGGGGAACTGATTGTAAATCTTGCCTTCCTAAGCAGTAAATAAAACCCATGTGTTCAGCCTTTCAGCCTTCTCTCAGAGGCCCTTAATGCTTTTATTTCTACTCCACAAGAAGACACAAATTCACATAAGCTGAGAGTGAGCTGCAAATTTCTAAAACTTTCCCAAAACTGACACAAAAAGGAGCCTCAATAAATATAAATATTATTGACCTGCCAATAAGATATGGCTCAAAAGTCTCATAATGTATTAAAGCAAGATTGACCCAGAGTTTTACAGAAAGTTGTAAGCAAATAATACATAAAAGAATAAACTTTTAAATAATTAAAAGGTGGATGTCAAGTCAGGCTTGGAAGGATTTCAACAACTGTGGCTGCATTTTGGTAAGCTGACATAAAAACAATGTTGCATAACCTTCAATATACATATAGTGCAATTCAAAAGTATTTACATCCATTGAGATTTTTCAGATAATGTTACATGATAGTCACATTTCAATGAGAATATCATGCAATGTACCATAGAGTATGACTTTGCTAACTCTTAACATGTAGAAACATTCTTATTCACAAAATAGCTTAAGCTCCTTTAGATAGGTTGGAGAGCATGTATAAGCATCCATGCTCTGATTCTTAGTTGGATTGAACTGGATTTGGACTGTTCTAACATGTTGCAAACATTCAATTGCCTTTTTTGGTAAAACTTTATTTGACTGTGTGCATAAGACTGACATGACATTGTCATAAACATGACATAACATTTGTCATGGACATGAATGAGTCTTTATGAATGTTTATGACTGCTATCATGAAGTGTCATTCTGTAAATAACTTTTAATGCAAAGTTGCTTTAAAAGTTGCATTGAAAGTCCATTGAAAGTGCAAACTTTGAATTATTTGGTAAATAATGACACTTTTAATGCAAAGTTGCCACTTTTATTAGACTTTTAATGCAACGTTTAAAGCAACTTTGCATTAAAAGTGTCTTAATTTTCCAAGTGACACTTCATGACAACAGTCATAGATATTCATAAAGACTCCTTCATGTTCATGACAGATGTTATATAATGTTTATGACAATGTCATGTCAGTCTTCTGCACAAACTGGTGACTCGTGATGCAAAACAGTGTTTATATTGCAGTTTGGTAAAGCAAAAATTTAGACCTGGCTGAAAAACCACCTCACCTAACGTAAAAACATTTTATCAAAAAACGTGTGCCATTCAGCAAATATATTATTGTAATTTCTATTTGCGCAATTTCATGACCTGTGAACTTACTTCCATGGCTCAAGTCACTTGGAGCGTAAAACAGGTTTTCTTCCAGCTCTGCCCTGCTTCTTTAATCTAACAATAAACTCTGACCTGCTAATATTCAAGCACATCCTTGCCACAGCATGATGCTGTCTCCATGTTTCACGCTGGAGATGGGATGTTCAGTCTTACACCACACATAATATTTTGGATGTTGATTAGAAAGATAAACTTTGGTCTCATGTGAGCAAAGCAGGCTCCTCCACATGTTTGATTTGTCCCCTATATGGCATGTAGCAAACTGCAAACTGGACTTTTCATCACTTTCTCAACAATGTTCTTCTTCTTGTCAATATTACATAAAAAATAAATTAGTTAAGTGTTTGACAAACAGCTTCTTCCACCTGAGCTAAGGATCTTTGCAGTTTAAGTGAACAACTGTTTCTTGGTAGGTTTGCTGTTGTCACCTTTTATTTGTGATGGGCATAAAGTTTGTAACTCTCAGAAGTCTTAACTAAATTTGCAGCTTCTAGAGGAGGTTTGTGACATGCTGCATGGACTGACCTGGACAGTTGAGACCCTTCTTTGAAAATTAGATGAAGACTTCTCCCTCTTTCGTTCATGAAGCCATTGATCAATTCTCTTGGCAAGCCTTTCTAAGGCCTCGAGGGTCTTGGGAGGGTCACGGGTAGCAATCTCATCCTTGATATCATCCGACAGGCCCTGGTAAAAAACGTCAAACAGGGCTTCGTTATTCCAAAGACAACTTTACTTCCAGGCATGGAAATTGATGATGTAGTCAGTAACGGGTCGAGACCCCTGTTTGAGAGAAGACAGTCTCCTGGCAGCCTCCCTCTCAGGACGGATTGGATCAAAAATCCTTTTCATTTAATCAGAAAACTCAAAAAATGAGTCACAGCTGTCGGCATCATTCTCCCACTCAGAGGTTCCCCACTGCTTTGCCTTACCAGATAGAGAGATTGTATAGGCCACCTTGACCCATTCAGAAGGGAAGGCAGAGGGCTGGAGTTCAAAAAGCAGAGAACACTGGGTTAAAAAGGTCTGCACTGTTCAGGATCCCCATCAAAACGCTCTGGGGGGAATCTTAGGTTTGTTGTTAGTGTTAACTGTGGGAGTGACAGCAAGGGGAAGTGGCCGTGTAACTGAGGGCCTTCTCTCAGGGCTTGGAAAGCCCTGAGAGAAGTAAGTCCCTGTAAAAGCTCCTGGACATTTCTTTCTAGGCCAGTAATAGCACCCTCCACCTTAGAACACCAATCAGAATCTGGCGAGATCGTACTGCAATGTTAAAGCAAACTTAGTCAGAACCCAAAACAAGTATTTGGGTCACCAAAAGTTTATTACAAAAAAATTAGGGTGTTGAAGGGGCTCCACAGGGTGTGGTCACACAGGTGGGTCAGGAATGGGAGATCCACAGGGGCCAAGAATCCAGCCTGGGGAGGGTAGGGTGAATGGGCAGTGGAAGGCCTATGGGGGGCTCAGGGGACAAATGGATGACGGGGACAAAATCCACCCACCAGAGGCTCAGTCGTTGAAACAATCCAGGGTCACGCACCCTCCCTTGCAAGAACCCGGATTTCATTGCCTGAGGCCCCCACCGTCTCAGGCAATGGAAATCCAATAATCAGAAGACTGGAGGCAGGATCAGAGGCTAGCAACAGGAGGTCAGAACTTTTCCTACAGCAGAAGGACTAGTCAAGAATCTGTGGTCAAAAATCAGGCAGGATCAGCAAACCAGAAAACTCTTTTGAACATGAAACAAGGCTTGAACGCTGTGACTGAGGCAACAGATGATCTCACACTGAGCTGGTGACGAGCAGCTGTTTAAATAGGGAGCAACACAGTGCAGGTGAGGGTAATGAGTAATCAGCACAGTCAAGGTGGAGCTGCAGGGCTGAAATCATGACAGTTATTGAGAAGTGCGCAGAAGCAGCTCAAAGACACAATAATATTTCATTTTCCTTTGGCATCAATAAAGTGTTTTGAATTTTGGGCAGTTTTTAGTGTGGGAAAAGAAAACCATTTGTTTCAATGAAGGAGGCATCTCTCAGAAATGTCAGAGACTGGTACCACAATGTAAAGGTTTTTAGTAAGACATGGATTAAAGTATGTCTTTACAAAGTTGAAGCGATTACCTCTGAAAGTGAAAAACAGACTCAGGCTTGTTCTCAGGAATTAAAGCTCAACTTGAAATAATCAGACCAAACACAGTGAAATATGACACATTTGAATAGTTTTGGTAAAATATATTGGAGTCCCTTGAGATTTCTCTTTGGCTTTGTCTATGTTGATGTACAGTAAATGTTAAATAATTTGGACTGGTTGTGTAGTTTGGGATATTTTCAGTGGCTTTTGAACAGCAGGAGCAATGCTTTTAGCTTTTTACAATTCCATTGAATCTCATTTAAAATTCATTTCAAGCTGCACTACCATTTTCGTGTACTGTAAATCTGGCATTTTGCATGTATGGTACTATGGGCAAAACTGCTTTTAAATAATTTCAAATTACCTGTTTAAAAGATGAAACATAATTAGAATCAGTTTTGCTGTTTCAAGTCTGAGCTGGGGTTTAGTTCCTCCATGCTTGAATAATTCCTACAATCCCTCTCCCCCACACACATCTTTTTTCTATTAAAAACAGAGAAAGGTTGAATTTAACCGCTAAAACTGGCATTTAGATGATTATCAATTCTGAAAATTCATGCATTGTATATTTATGTATGACGATCATAGTTTTAATAGAATAAGAAAATTTTTTAAATTGTTTGGTATCCCTAAAGCTTCATGTTTGTATGTCCAAAGGAAACAAAATTAAGAAACCCTCCAAAGTTTTGTCATAAATCTAGTTTCAGTTGTCAATAGTGAGTCATATCAGCTGTTGCCAGAAGAATATACAACTTATATTTACTTTTTGTTTTTAAATTCGTACTTTGTGAAGTTGTGTTTGGCCAATAGTCCAGACCTGGACACCAGGCACTGTTGTGTACAGAGACAGGAATTCTGAAGAAATCTCAGCTCACAACAGCTAAAACTGGAAACCAAAGCCACGTGACCTTTGACACCTCAAACAGCCTAATAAATCATCATGATGGAATGATCAGCAATCTGCACAGGCTCATAGTACTTTGGAAAACCATCAACTTTCATCACAGTCCAGCCTTCGTACATCTTCATTTAAAACGTATAACTTTTTTTGTTGTACTTTTTTTTAGAACAGGTACATACTGGAGCGACTGAAATCTGGTCTTTCTCTACAAGTCTGAATCAATTCTGATTCTCCATTACTGATATCAACATTGCCACAGTAAAATTCAAACCTCTTCAGACACTTACAGGGGGACAATATTGGTTGCACTCGATTTTATTTTGAGGTGTCAGAACAAAAAGCATGGCTCACTTTAGATTTTTTTTATTTAACAGATTGTTTGCAACTATGTCATTTTTGTTCCACTTCATAATTTTCTCCTTTGGGTTGGTGTGTCAGAAAATCCTGATAAGGGTTTGTGTTTGTAATATGTTTACGTAAAATCCTCCATCCATCCATTTTCTGAACACCCTTGTCCCTCAGTGGGGTCGGGAGGGGTTACGTAAAATCCTACCTCTTGGTTTTTGTGACACAGATGCTTCAGAAACAAATGTACCATTTTAAAAATAGGTGTTGAAACTGTAGGTGTTGGGTTATTATGGCCATCATTTAGCTATTTTCACAATTAATTTGATCTGTTCTACAGGATGAGATTCTGTGAAATCTCGGTCCACCTTAAATTATTACTCTTCTGTTTTCTAGGGAGCTTCCGTAAAAAAGGCAAAGACCAGAGCACAGAGCGAGACTTCTTCATGAGGATGAAATGCACAGTGACCAACAGAGGGCGCACCGTAAACCTCAAGTCAGCAAGCTGGAAAGTAAGTCTTGGATGGACATGAGACGCTAGACTGGCATTCAAACCGTTTCCATCATAAAAGCTGCAGGAGGCAAAATTTTCTGATATTCCCATCCCCTCCAGGTGCTGCACTGCACCGGCCAACTTAAGATGTACGACAGCTGCCCATCGCGGGTTCTCTGCAGCTACAAGGAGCCTCCGCTCACCTGCGCCGTCCTGATGTGCGAACCCATCCCACACCCGTCCAACATCGACGCGCCGCTGGACAGCAGGACGTTCCTGAGCCGACACAGCATGGACATGAAGTTCAGCTACTGTGATGAAAAGTAAGCAGGCACCACTATAGCAGTAACACTGCTCATCAAGTGTGTTTTTCTGAGCCAACACCAAAATAAGAATCCTTAAATACCTCTACCAACTGCAGGACTGAAGTCTTTCCAGTGTGTAGCTGACTATATAAAACCTCTTTTTTTTTTACTTGCAAGAGTTCATAACTCTTCTTAGGTTGAAAACTTTTTAGGTACCTTAAAATTCAGTGACTTCACAACCAGCTTCCTGCATGTGGACGATAGCTTGTGTAACAAACCAATGGGCTCTACTGGATGAGACGACGCTCCCTCTCCATTCATTTTCTATGGAACTTGTGCAATGAGGTGACAACTGCTTGCCCTCTTTCAGTCAAGTGACTGGTGAAATTCGTACATGTGAAGTTTCGAGTTTGTATGTGTAGATGCGCACATGAAGGCTAAGCTGCATAACACAAGAAAGTTGAAAAATATCCAGCTTTTGTTGCTGTTGGCCCTAAGTCAGGGGTGTCAAACTCCAGTCCTCAAGGGCCGCTGTCCTGCAGTGTTTAGATGTGCCACAGGTAAAAAACAGTGGAATGAAATGGCTTAATTACCTCCTCCCTGTGTAGATCGGTTCTCCTGAGCCTTGCTAATGACCTAATTATTCTTTTCAGGTGTGGTGCAGCAGAGGCACATCTAAAAGTTGCAGGACAGCGGCCCTTGAGGACTGGAGTTTGACACCCCTGCCCTAAGTGCTGGAAAACTTTCACTGTCGCTCTTTGTTTGTTGATCCCATAACACGTAGAAACCGGCATTTCTCTTGGCGTACCAAGCCGTCATCTCAGATGTCCGGATCAGTCTTAGTGAGAAACTTCCAGTGTGTCACATTTCAACTTTGTGGGGACCTTCATATTAATTTTTGTTATTTACAACTCACAAGTTCAAAACTATTTTCTTGATGGTCACTAGAGCTAGAGAAAACACCAAACAACAACATTTCTTAATGAAGACACTTGACTGACTCTTTTGTATTGTGTCTTTTGACACAATACAAAACCTTAATTTAAAAAAAGTTTTTTAAACAAAACTTTTTGTTTTTTTAAAAAAATCATTACAATTCCAAAAGTTTTGATTACAATTTTATTTTACTTAACTGAGGTTAGGTTTTTTTTTTTCATTTAATAATTGGGGGAAAATTTTTACTTCATACTCTGCAAACCAGAGCCTAAACTGACTTGAAGTCTGGATTGAGTTTTTTCCCCTTCATTAATGACACAATTTTATTACATATATTATATCTATCATGGTAGTTCAGGGTGAGTTAGTTTTAATTCTAAATGAATATCTTTATTGGATTTTTATTTAAGTGCTATTCTCCTTCAAGATACATTTACCTATTGCTAGAATAAATGCCTCTAGAACGGTGGTTCTTAACCTTTTTTGAAGTACCGAACCCACCAGTTTCATATGTGCATTCACTGAACCCTTCTGTAGCAATGAATAAAATATGAATTTTTTCCCCCAAATTCAAGACATAGGGGTGACCCAACTAGAGTCTAGTTGGGTCACCCCAAGATCACCAAGTCTTCTTAAAAGGTAGAGTCTCTGAGAACAGTTCTTCAAAATACACTCCTGATCAAAATATTAAGACCAGTGAAAAAATTGCAAGAATTTGCATTTTGCACTATTGGATCTTAAGAAGGTTCTAAGTAGAGCTTCACAATGTTAAAGTAAAAAATCAGTGCAAGAGACAAGAACTTTTGAGCAGGGAATTTTCTGAAAACTCCATTTACACTCAAACATGATTTTTTCAGCTGATCAAAAGTTTAAGACCATAGTCTTTAAAAGCCAAAAGCTGTGCAAAAATCTGGATTCCATGTCATTTTCTGTCAAGTCTTTACACTGTCAAGAACCCTGATGGCAAAAGCAAAAAAGCTCACTGACTTTGAACGTGGTAGGATTGTTGAGCTGCATAAGCAAGGAGTCTCACAACGTGCCATCACTGCTGAGGTTGGACGCAGTAAGACAGTCATTTTGCATTTTTTAAATGATGGAATGATATGGAACAAAAAAGTCAAGTGGTAGACCCAAAAAAATTTCACCAGCTCTGAGCCGCAGGATCCGATTGGCTGTCCGTCAAGACACGGGACGATCCTCTACCCAAATTAAGGCCATTACTGGTGCTGACTGCAGCCCAATAACCATCAGACGGCATCTGCGAGAGAAGGGCTTCAGAAACAAAAAACGTCTTCAAAGGCCACGTCTTCTTCAACGCCACAAAATTGCCCGTTTGGACTTTGCAAGGGTGCACCAAACATGGGACATTGAAAGGTGGAAGAAAGTTGTCTTCTCTGATGAGAAAAAATTTAACCTTGATGGTCCTGATGGCTTCCAACGTTACTGGCATGACAAGGAGATCCCACCTGAGATGTTTTCTACACGGCACAGTGGTGGGGGCGCCATCATGATTTGGGGTGCGTTTTCCTTCAATGGAACAATGGAGCTTCAGGTTGTGCAGGGGCGTCAAACAGCAGCTGGCTATGTGGAGATGTTGCAGCGGGCATCCCTCATGACTGAGGGCCCTCGTCTGTGTGGTAATGATTGGGTTTTTCAACAGGACAATGCTGCAGTTCACAATGCCCGCCTGACAAAGGAGTTCTTCCAAGAGAATAACATCACTCTTTTGGACCATCCTGCATGTTCCCCGGATCTAAACCCAATTGAGAACATTTGGGGAAGGATGGCAAGGGAAGTTTACAAAAATGGACATCAGTTCCAGACAGTGGATGCCCTTCGTGAAGCCATCTTCAACACTTGGAGCAACGTTCCCACTAGCCTCCTGGAAACACTGGCATCAAGCATGCCTAAACGATTGTTTGAAGTCATCAGCAAGAATGGTGGAGCTGCTCATTACTGAGTCCTTTTTTGACACTTTGATTTCTGTTTTGGGGGGTTTTCAGGGTTTTTTTGAGCTATGGTCTTAAACTTTTGATCAGCTGA